CACAGACAGAGACCATTACACTAATTCTATGACCTTTGAAACTAATCTTTTGCACTTGAACTGATTTAGGATTGCTGTAGCTTGTGTATATTCTAAATATAAAGTCTCATTTGAAAGTTTCATGATTGCAGGCTCAGATGGCAACAAAATGTGGAATCTTTGCAGGGAGGGGGGGGTGAATACTTTTTCAAGACACTGTATCTATATTTGGTTCTATAGGACTTCTTCAATTATAGTACCTCTGAAAGAGAGATTCTGCTAGAAATAGCTTGTATTTCATTCAGTTTCAGCCTATAACTTGTGAAATTTATTTTCTATCTTAAAAGCTAGCAGCAACAGACACTGTTGGGAGGCCTGAATATGTAAATTTAAAGAACATTTAATTTCATATCCTGGATGGTAGCCTAAAGATCTTCATTCTTCAATTTTTGAACATTTGCTACATTGTTATCATAGAAATAAGAAAAAGTATGATTTTCCTACTACAGTTTAAGTATTAAAAAAAGTTTACGCTTACAAATTGTTATATTTTCACTGATATTTGTTATTCTTCATATCCTGGATGGTAGCCTAAAGATCTTCATTCTTCAATTTTTGAACATTTGCTACATTGTTATCATAGAAATAAGAAAAAGTATGATTTTCCTACTACAGTTTAAGTATTAAAAAAAGTTTACGCTTACAAATTGTTATATTTTCACTGATATTTGTTATTCTTCGGACTTCATCAATGGCAGTCAGCTATTCTGCTCATTTAATTTTGATTTTAATTGAACACCTTTTGTTACTCCGAAGTAAAGTATTAATCCTACTTCAATGTACACTATAAGAAAAAAAAGTGTTAAGAGTTTGGTGTGATGTTTAGACCATCTTGTAACACAAATTCATTAAGATAAATATTTTCACCATGAAGGATTCGTGATAGTGTTGGTTTTCATTGTATTAAATAAACTTTAATGCTTGCTCTAATTTTTCTTAATTATTTAATGCTGTTGAAGATACAAGAAGTTTAATATATAAAGCAATCAAAATAAAATTTAGATAATTGTTAAAATTGATAGAAATCATGAAAGTCTGTTGATATGGTTAACTCAAGGAGGTGGGAAAATTGTATCATTTTATAAATCATATCTCTTGGAGGAGTTTAGAAGTAATTGAAATCTTTTACACATTTGGTTTGTGCTTGGCAATTGGAATTACTGCTTATATGGGACAATAAATGTAATTTTAAAATGATTAATAACTTTTTATTATTGCTTGGTGATTAGGGCACTTGACTCGCAAGTTGCGGGTCATGAGTTTGAATCCTGTCATGGAACATGCACGTCCTTTCAAGTATGTAATGTTATATTTTGCCCATTAAACTTGGAGATATATAAATATTTTTCACATTATTTTTAATTTTTGTAACAATTACCAGTTGGGCATATTGTAACTGCTTTTGAGTGTTCTCATTTTGACATTATAAAAAAATCAGATTTTGCCACAATCATTTAAATTTTGTAAAGAACAACTTAAAAACTTTTTTTCACCAAGTACTTAAAAACAGGGTAGTCTGTGTAATAAAGAGGTGCTTTGGCTGGTAGCATTTGATTTTAAGTTATTTTGAAATCTTTGATACTTCAGATGAAAGAAAAACTAGTCACATCAGGTATATTTTTCTCAATTGCTTCACTATGAGAGTGTGGTTTCCTCTTCCCCTTCCCTTAATTTTTGGAGGAGAAAAACCATTTCTGTATTCCTGGATGATTTTTTTCAAAAGTTGTTTAAACAGTGAAAACTGGTTCACATGAATAGTGATAAACTATGTGTACTTATTGTCATCAAATTTTCAACTATATGTATAAAATTATGCTAGCTTTTACTTTAAAATATTCATACTCAAAATGATATTTGATGACATTTTCATTTTCTTGCAATACTCAAATTAAAGTTGATAAGTAAGGTGGATTACAGTTAGGAAAACTGCTGCAAATATGAATGTTAAAATCTACTACAACATACCCACTGGATTTAACTTTTAAAAGTAGAATACTGTTCATTTGGAAAGTTAGAAGAAAGGTGATGGGGAATTGACCTCAAAATGTTGTGAGACAGTCTGATTCTATTTAACATGTGCTCTCAGGACACTGTTTGGAAAAAAAAATGGTGCAAATAGAGCTTATTACTTCAAATATCAAAGTTCAAACTCATGCACAAGAAATAAAAATCATTTGTTGTTGTATAGAATAAACAAAACTGATTTTTATGATTTTTGTATTTTCTAGAAACCTTGGTTGTGGGACACTCGTTATTGCTGGTATGGTTATCCACATCAGGTAGAGTATTTCATTTTAAATGTCTAACCAGTTGTTCATGTAAAGATTGATGTTATATATTTTTAGAGTAATCATAAGGTGATCAATATTCCTGTCAACTTCATTCTTGAGTGCTTGCATCAGGACATCAACAACTTCTATATTCTTGTGGAAGCATCCAATAAAGATAGTAATAGTGGACACAGCATGCTTAATTAATGTCTTAGTAAAACTGAAAATAATGCATAAAGTTATATGACTATACTTAAATGTAGAATGTCTTTTAAAAACTTAAAACTTTTATAAGCAGTGTTTTTGTTTTCTATCTGACATTCTTATTTAGTTGTTTGTTTTTCTATTCTTTGTCTGCTAGGTTAAATGCTGTAAATTGTTGCCAGATGAGAAAAAGTGTTTATGTTGTACAAAAGGAAATTGAACTGTATTATTTACACATTGATATTTACTTATATGGAAATGATTTATTTAGTCTGATAAGTAACTTAATGAAAGTGTTTGGCAAAAGCTTACAGTGCTCATTTACATTTGCTGTGTTATCCTTTGATCCATTACTTCAGTTAGTTTGGCTTACTAAATTCTGAGAAGATTAATAGAACTATACTATAGATTTATTTTTGATTTTTAGGCCATAATAGCCAGAGATTTCTAAAAGTCAAAGAGTTTGTTCACCAGAAGCACAGACAATAATATCAAACACGTATTTGCAAAGTATCTGTAGTAACTTTCCATTTTTTAAACAAAAACAAATGGGCTAATTTTGAACATATTGCAAAAACAATGTTTTTCCACTTAATTTGGAGAAAAATAATTCACAGAGACAAGAGAAACGTTTTCCAATACCACAGTTGGAAAGCTCTGTCATCCTGACACTTCCTTATCTAGGTGATGAATATTTGTACTTGATATATCAAGTTTTCAAATTGCTTAGAACTGCTTATCCCCAGCTACAAGTCATGTGATTTTAAAAGTTCTTCTTGTCTTTGAAGATTCTTCCCGTTTAAGGACAAGGCTCAAAATTACAAAAGTCCTAAGTTGTTTACAATTATAGCTGTCCTTTATACTGTAAAGACTTGTTCCACAAGTAGGTGTCATTCTAAAGACAAACATGATTCTGTTGTTCTAACAGACTAGTTTGATATTCATTTCTGTGCTTCTGATAAATGAAGCCTCAGCATTCAAGAATCTCTGGCCATTATGGTCTGTAAATCAGAACTGAACTTAATGGATAGTTTGACTTTCACTGGTACCATGACACACACACCATTAGGCATAGTGAATGTAAGAGTACTTAACACTCCAAAAAAGTAATTCTGATTATTTTATTAATTGGCTTTTTGACCATCAAGATATTTTGGGTATCTGATGTACTTGAAATCAGTCTAAAGTTATAGTTGTTTTCTCTCTTGACAAAAATTGTCATTGGTTTCTTACCCTTATGTAATTTTGCTATTTCATAAACTGAGTTTTTGCTGACTGAATGTCAGAAACCTATGTTCTTTAAGGAAGATATTTTGCCCATTAAACTTGAAAATGTTTTCACAGCATTTTAATTTAATGTAATAATTGCCAGCTGGGCATGTTGTAACTGCATTTGTATCTGATTGTTTTAACAGTATAAAAACAACAACAGATTTTGTCACAATCCTTGAAATTTTGTAGAAATAACAATAACGTAAATATTTTTATATGCCTCATATTTTTCCAGGAAGGTTCCTTAAAAGACTGGTAACACCATGACTTCAACTGTTAACCCTTTCGAGACGGGTTACAGGTGAAAAGCCATGTCATCTGATTTGTTGAATTTGGGTCAATAAGTTTGGTATCAAACTGTAGATCATAATTCATATTTTAGTACTATATATTACACAATTTCTTAATTTAAAAGCAAATATTAAAAAAACACAGATAAACATTGATTTTTGTGTGTCATGCGGTATGTTGAATACAGCACTAGTTCAAATTAGATGTTTGTGAAGTGAAAATACTAAGTCTATAGCTTCAAATGAATTACAAACTCAAATTACTGATATTGACAAGCTAGAATATAAAATAAGAGCCTCTTATCTTTTCCATTTGCTAAGATACTGCTCATGTAATAAATCAAATGCAGTGACACCCCACCTACCTTTTTTCATTTTTGGAAATGCTCCCGTAAATACAATTATATATATGACATGAATAACCAATCGGAAGCTCGGAATGTCTCCTTAGTGATTTTTTCTGCCTTTCTAACGTGGCTGGTGCCATTGCTTTCTTTTGAACCAAGATTTCAATGAAGTAGGTTGTGTCTTTAGTCTGCTCGAAATTTCATATTTTTTTTTAGAGTAAAATATATCTTAGTTACTCAGCTTGATAAATTATAGTTGGATTCTATGGTATTGATGTAGT